AAATTAAAGTCGACCGATACAACGGGACAACTTTAGTAGAAATATATATATATATATATATATATATATATATATACGAGTATATAAAACAAATATAAGAAATTTCAATGAGCTTACGGCAAATGTCAAGTCTATATTATGATTATCACTGAGACCGGCTTGTTCCTGCAATCGTATAAGGGCTCTCTCCCTTGAGGAAGCTTCGCGCGCGCGTTCTAAGGCGATCCGCATGTTGTTTTCGGAAGCTGCCTCTGCAGAGCTTTCTATCAAACCCATTATTTTTCTTTCTGATGCTTTTATTTTTTCTTCCGGTCTTAAGTAAAAAAATCGTAAAAAGACATTTTAATATGATGCTCTCTCGATGATGTACATGTGATGAAAATATATCAAAGTATACAGATATATAAATGCGCATACAAATATCAAATCTTACGTGTCTTCTTTATTAGTTTCCAGTGGAGGTGCAAGACCTTTGGCGCTACTTCCCATATTAAGAGGATCAAAAGTCTGTTGACTAGTATATCCAGCACTTCTTACTGCTGTCATAGGTCTAAGCCCACCAGTCATAGGCTGCATAGATATGGCAGTACCACTTCTTTGAAACTAGGAAAGTAAAAGCATAAAATAGATAGATTCTATTAAACTTGGAACTATATTATATAAAAAATTATAATAACATATTAATAAAATTAATAAATTAGGAAAATATAACAAAAGCTAGATATAGTAGAGTAGTGTCCTCTTACTTTGCTTGATGTTCCGAAACGCATCGCTGTGCCTGGTGTCTTTGGAGTGAACTGTTAACAAACACCAAATAAAAAATTAGTAAAACACAAGAGATATTATTAATAATTGCATTACAAGATTTACCAATAAATAGATATTAATCACACATATTGCATTGCAAGATTTACTAACAAATATATATTATACAAGAAATTAGATATCATACACGAAGCTGGCAATAGAATTCTGTCTGGCGATAGAAATATAATGACTTATCATCACACTTACTATTGATCTCTTTCCATAACTTGATTTGATAACCTCCTGAAATAATTCATCCTGCTCAAGATCCTTATACACTGTTGAATAATCATCATATCCTGCATAAATGTCATCTTCAACTTCTGCTGCAGCCATGGTCTATAATTTTTCACTTCACAGTACAATTGTAATTTTTCTTCAGTGATTGTTATATATATATATACAATATAATTATATGAGAAAAATCATCAACTTATACTCTCGAATAATTGAAATGAATTAAACAAAACTGTCTTTCTCAAAAGAGTTCTATAAATTATAAAAAGTAAAATAAATGAGAGCTGAAAGATTGTACCAAATTGCATCAAATACAGATACAATACACAAACACAGGACAAATACAGATATACAAACTGTTAAAGCAAAAAGGTTTTTCTCTAATTAGAGATAAAGTTTATTGCGTAGTTTTTGCTAAAATTGTTTGTATACTAACGTTTTCGTATACTAATCTCTCAACAGATGTTGCGGTAGATTAAAAACAGAGATAAGCCTGGAAATTACTTAAATCACATTTTCGATGGGATCTTTAAATCCCTCGTACAGTAACGCCATCATATACACTTATGAGAATTATTTAGCTACACCACTTTTCGACACTGTCGATAAAATCACTGTTTGGTGCGTGTCCATACTGCATCTATAAATTATAGATCACATTTCACACACATGCATAGATTTATATTAATATGAATATTTAATTTTTTTTTACTGCGTGTAACTCTTTTCTACTCTAGAATATATACACTATAAACGTTATTATATATATATTTCTTTTTATGTTTAGTTATCTAAGTTAACAAATTCGTTCTTTAAACTATTTTTTTAATTGATTTAAAAGTATGTATTTTATACAATAAATTATATTGCACAAAGAGGAAGAGAGAGAACTATTGACTTATAAATTACAAAAAAATTAATAACTCTAAAATCATTTAATTTCCAAATATGTATATACATTAAAATAAAGTTGTAAAAACTTTATCATTATATGTGCTTTTTCATTTTACTTAGCAGTTTATTTAATAAAATAAGAATTATATTTCTTTTCAGGCCGTTCACTCGTTATACGTATTACATAAGTTAAACAGTAATAAAAAGTATGTAACAAGTAAAATCATATGCCTGCTTAAAGCAGATGCGTCCGAGTATATCAAGTGCACGGTAATCGATACTTGAAAAACCTTGAAAATGACAAAAAGATAGATGATGTCGAAGTATTTGAAAGTACGTAAGAAATCACAGCTTCTATCTTAGTTCAATTACATCATTTTATATTTTAAATTATGCTTGTAATATTTATACTAAACACATAATTACACGTAATGCAACATATGTCTGCCGTAAAATTAAATCAATATTATTTCTAATAGAAAATCGATATTTTAAACAAGAACAATGTTATATAATTAAAGCATGACATGCAAAAACAAGATTGACGCTAATGTGTTTTCTTATTTCTAGTTAAAAAAAAGCGGATGGCCATGTTGGATCTCTTAATAGCTGCATCTCAAAATAATGATTTGACTGATTTGGACATCAGAGAAGAAATCGATACTTTTATGTTTGAGGTATGTACTTGTAATTTTTTTTTAATTTTTTGTACACATCATCTAAGCACGTTTGTCGGTATGACGATATTCATATAATAATGATTACAGGGTCACGATACTACAGCGATGAGTATTACCTTTGTTTTATTACTATTAGCTGAACACAAAGATGTCCAGGTACTTTTTTCTCAGTATATTGTAATATATTATTTAAATTGAGATTTTTATTCAAAATAATACAGATATCAAACTTTTGTTGCAATGTATTTTTTAATTCATTGAAATTTTTTTTGTGTCTATGCCTATAAAAGCCGAAATATTAAGAAATACACATTAATTATTATCGATGACATAGGAACGTGTGAGGGTTGAAGTTGATAACGTAATGCAAGAAAACGGAGGGAAACTTACCATGAGATCGTTGCAAAATTTACCATATTTAGACAGATGTTTAAAGGAAGCGCTACGTTTATATCCCAGCGTATTTTTCATATTACGAAACGTTGGAGAGGATGTAAAATTACGTAATTAATCACAATTTTTATATATCTTTGGACATGTCACATTTCAAGGAGTATATATCATCGAATGTAAAATAAGTTTAATTGTTTTAACATTTGAAGAATACAATATTATGTTCATGTTATTTCTCAAAAGAACTCTTTATTTCATAAATTTGTATATTTTGTAATTTTGTAATACTTTTGCTTTTTAGACTCATATGTTATACCTGCTGGAACGATCTTACATCTTAATATTTACGGAGTTCACAGAGATCCAAATTTTTGGTCAAATCCAGAAGTATTTGATCCGGATAGATTTTTGCCCGAGAGGATGCAGAATCGTCATCCTTATTCCTATCTACCCTTCAGCGCAGGACCGAGGAATTGCATAGGTGAATGAATTGCTCGCGATTTTCTTTTCTTCTCGTGTCGATAGTTTTTGATAAGATTTCAATTTGTAGGTCAAAGATTCGGTTTGTTGGAGTTGAAAGCTATGATAGCTCCTTTGGTGCACAATTTTTACTTGGAGCCCGTAGATTATTTAAAGGATATCCGGTTGCAGGTCGGTCTAGTAATTCATCCTTGTCATCCGGTTCATATAAAATTCATCCCAATCATCCGCAAATAAGCGTTTAGAACGGACACCATATAAATGTAAGAAATTGATGCATTGCAAAAATAAAAGAATATCGTTATGTATATTATATGTTTAACATTATGAACAAATACTTATTATATAAATACATATTTGAAAAAAACGTATTACATAATCATTAACAAAATACGTATATGTAAACATTATATTTAATTATGAATGACGGTTATATGTATACAGTGGATGTCTTATAAATCAGATCCGTGAATATTAAATAATATATATA